GCTTTCACAGTTGATGCCAGATCCCTTAATGCCCCCCCCCAGCACTCCACTACTCCCATCTGTCTCCATCATCAAAAGCAACCAGTGCGGCAGAAGTTTGTTTTCAACAACAGAAACTGTTTGTGATTTTTGTTTGCTATATAGCTCATTCTCCTGGGTGTAAAGTGGTCATATATTCATGGGTAAGTTAGAGAACACCAGCCTCTGACCGATCATAGAGGATTTGATAATACACTGCAGATATATTGATGACATACTCCTCGTTACTATAGAAATGGAAATGGAGACTTGGACGGAATACTGACATCATTTAACATTGCTTATCGATCCATATGCTTTACTATCGAAAAAGAAACGAACGACTGCATCCCGTTTATAGATGTCTTTATCCGTAGAAACCTAGATGGATCTATCCGCCGTAATGTCCATAGCAAACCAACTTGGACAGGACAATACATTGATTTCAGTAGTTTCGCACCAATTAAACAAAAAGCAACTTCACTTCGGACACCATAATCGAAGAGATGAAGTAAATAAGGAAACATATTAAGAGAGAATGGCTATCCGGATCGCCTGCTTGCCAAACACGTAACAGGAACAACGGAGAAACCGGAAGTAAAGTAAATAGAAAACCTCTGTAACTGCAATTACAGTACAAGAGCGAGAAAGCGGCGGACTGTGTCACACGAACAGTAAAGTAAACGCTAAGGAGAACTTTCACTACGGCAGCACTACGCTTCAGTTTCTCCACATCACGGATAGTTCTTTTCCATCTCACAGATAGATTGTCCCCTCAGGCCCTCATCCATGTGCATCTATTTGTTCACTTGTTCCTGTAGAGCGAGCTACATAGGCCGGAAAACAAGACAATTGTCAAAGAGAAAAAAAGAAACGCCACCCTTGATGGCTAGCACACGGAGAAACGAGGACAACGAGAAGTGCAATATGCTAACACAAACTCGAAAGGAATCCCCTAGTGGACGTAAGTCGAGCGTTCAGAGTCGTTTATCGTAGTCCACCGTTATCGTCTAAATCCTTACGCTTTATTCCTCTGTACACGGCTAAAGCTATTGCGATCAAACTGCTCGACCCTCCACCATGCAATCAAAAGCGTTTCGTCCAGACGTTATCTTTGCCAAGGCCAGTTGCTAAGCTATCAATCGATGCGAGCGTGGTAACTGGAAGAACGTCATAACCAAGGCGAAGCTCACTCAAATTGTTGGCACATGCTTGTACAAAGATTAACAAGATCCACCTCGCACAGGATCAAACAATATTAAATGCTCTATCTATTTATAAATTTAAACGGCCAGTTCTTGAATTCATAGAAAATTCAGCTTGTTGCGCCTATCGGATTTTATTTTAAGTGGTAGTCAATTACCAATAAACCAGTGGGATACATTTTACTTATCATAACATTACTTTTACTTTACTTGTTAAAGCAGCACAACAAAACAGCACTCCAAGTGATGCGGTAACCATCAAGGATGAATCCGAGTCACTCGTTCACACAGATCACACGATTTAGGTCAGATTAGATTTTATTTGCTTCATATAACAAATACAATATTGTCACGACGATCGTCTGTGGTGATCATTTAACGAACTCAGACCTAATGGAGCATTCATTGTATTCCACAGCGATAGATACACACATATGTTCAAGATGATATAGCTACTAGCATGAGTAGTATATGGGTGTCTGGGCACAATCATTACAAGGAAACAAACATCGAAATGTCAAGGATGCAATTCAATTGATATAGATGAAGAGCATTCATAACGAGAGAATTGGGAACCTGCCAACAGGAAACGTTTGCCTAGTTCCATTTATGAAAAAAGAACCTGTTCATTGGTTTATGATTTATTGTATTTTTGTCTATGTTTTATCGAACGAAATGGAAAGTGTCATGTTATAAAAGCGGTGACCAGACTGTTTGCGCGTCAGACACCCCTACCTCGTCTGATTATCGGATGTTCAACGCACATAGTTAATCCATTTTATCTTGAAATAGTAAACTCGCATCGCTTACATATTGAAACATATTACATATTACGTATTCCTATTCATCGTAGTGTCTACAGTGAGTTTGATGCCTGATATGTGACACAATTTGCACTCTGCGTTACACTGATTCATCACAAATAAGTTTCAGTATTTCTGTCCCTCGAAAAAATATGATATCACCCGTATTTTCAGTCTCATTTATTACTGCGCTAAACTCACTCCATCATCTACCGGTCTTACTCATCATAAAGATCCCCATTCTTTTTCCAGGGCAGATAGAAAATGTTTCCATTTTGGATATCAATTTTAATTCTATACCATATGTTCACTCCCATGGGATATACACGTTTGAACAGAAAAGTCACAAACATGGATTTGCACAACGTATCCATGGTCATTGCACTGCATCTTTACACGTGCATGGATTTTTATATAGTCAGTGAGATTATGCATTTGAGACGAAGACCAGACCGCTAATCACAACGGACAACACGATACAACAACACAAAGAAGAGAGATGAGAGAGAGAGGGTAGGGGGTGAATCACCAAGGCAAAGCGAATGTGACTAACCATTTA